ACCTCGTGATCCACCCGCCTCGGCCTCCCAAAGTGCTGGGATTACAGGCTTGAGCCACCGCGCCCGGCCAATTTTTTTGTATTTTTAGTAGAGATGGGATTTCACCATATTGCTCAGGCTGGTCTCCTGACCTCACGTGATCCACCTGCCTTAGCCTCCCAAAGCACTGGGATTACAGGCATGAACCACTGCACCTGGCAAAAGGGTCTTGATCTAGACCCCAAGAGAGAATTGGATCTCTCACAGGGAGGAATTCAAGGAGGATGGCACAATGCAGTGAGAAGAGAGGGTTTATTGCAAGCCACTCACCTACAGAGGAAGGCATCCTCAGAAAGCAAGAGGAGGAACGCGCCGGCTTCGTTTTAAACTCTTCCGATATAGGGATCTGTCTGCGTCAAAGCTAAGTTATGTCTACGTATGGGTGGACTGACAGCACGACAACATTTAGTACTTTGTTGACTTAAAGAAACTTATCCTTGACCGGGCGCAGTGGCTCGCACCTGTAATCCCAACACTTCGGAGGCCAAGGTGGCCGGCGACTTGAGCCCAGCGTTCAAAACCAGCCTGGGCAACAAAGCAAGACACCATCTCTACAAAAAATGCAAAAAATCAGTTGGGCATGGTGGCCCATACTTGTAGTCCCAGCTACTCAGGAGGCTGAGGCATCTCTTGAGCCCGGGGCAGTCAAGGCGTAGAGAGCTGTGATGGTGGCATGGCACTCACTCCAGCCTGGGCAACAGAGCGAGACCCTGTCTCAAAAGAAAAAATAGAAAGTTACCTATTTCATTTCAGGGTGTAAGTCCCTCAAAGCATGAGTATCATCATCTTAAAAGCACATCGTGTCCTGTGATGTTGGGGTGTCTGGACATTTTGTTGTTGTGGGAGTTTGTCCTTGCAGGCATTACCAAGCTTCTTCCTCTGCCTGAACATCGCAGGACCGTGGGTTCTGACCGGCAAAGAGTGTGTGTGTGCCTTGCTAACTTTGTGACGGAGTTGATTTTAAAATGGTGTCACCCTGGCTCTCCGGAGCTCCTGCTTCCCTGACGATTCCACCCCCATGGCTGCCCCTCCTAGGGTTCTCCCCGAGCCCAGCCATGGGGGAACTGTGTCGCAAGGACTCCACGCTCACCACGCTGGACGAGGAGACGCTGTGGGAGATGATGGAGAGCCACCGTCACAGGATCGTGCGCTGCGTCTGCCCCAGTCGCCTCACGCCCTACCTGCGCCAGGCCAAGGTGCTGTGCCAGCTGGACGAGGAGGAGGTGCTGCACAGTCCCCGGCTCACCAACAGTGCCATGCGGGCCGGTGAGCACAGCTCCCCGAGGGCCCAGGTGTTCCTTGTTCCTGCACAGCTCCACTGTCTGCCTCTGTCTTCGGGGGTCTCTTCTGGTCCTGTCTCTTATAAAAACACTTACCGTTGCATTTAGGGTCCACCAGATAACCAGAATGATCTTACCTTGAGATCATTAAGTTATGTCTGCACAGGCCTTTTCCCAAACAACGTCACCTGGACAGGTTCTCCAGGTGGACCTGCCTTTTAAGGGGAACCACCATTCACCCCACTGCAGATGTCTTTGGGGTCCATTCTGATGGGCCGACTAGCCGTGTTTATTCATTTGAAAATGAGGATGTTAATGGCTTTCCCCTGTGAGGTTGTTAGGGGAAGCACATGGGTTAGTGGTTATAAGATACTCACTGCACACGGTGGCTCACGCCTGTAATCCTAGCACTTTGAGAGGCCGAGGTGGGTAGATCACCTGAGGTCAGGAGTTCAAGACCAGCCTGGCCATCATGGTGAAACCCCATCTTTAAAAAAAAAAAAAGATACTCGCTGCAAAGCTGGGGCCGTAGAAAACAGGCAGTGTGTGACAGCTGTCAACATGATAGTGTTCATGCATGTTGGTGTATAAGTCCCAAACACAGGGGAGAGATTAGTCCACGCTAGTCATTCTGGCTGAGAGAGACGGTCTCTGGGCTCTGGATGTGGAGGGCCCCCAGGCTCCCTGCAAGCTGTCCCCTGCAGCCCTGGGGGCCGCTCTGCCGCTTTCTGTGCACAGCTCCGAGGCTGACAGCACTGTGGTAGGACTGTGTCTGCACCAGCCCTGGCTTGCCAGGGAGGGGCTGCAAGCAGGGACCACCTCCTCACCTCGTACCCTGCACGCGCAAGAGCACTTGGGTTGCAGGAGTTGCTCAGTAAATGCCAGCTTTGCCCTTCTCAAGTCTGACTGAGGTCATGTGGGTAAAAGGAGCTATGAGGCTGCATCCCACCCCACAGATCCCCGAAAACTGCCTTTACCTCCTGATTCTTAGAAGTGCAGCGGTTTCCCCAGCCCCAGACTCCACCCCTGTGGGGAAGCCAGCCAGGGAGCCCAGCCCCCTTGGTAGCTGACAGACGGTTCTGCCTCCCAAGGGCACTTGCTGGATTTGCTGAAGACTCGAGGGAAGAATGGGGCCATCGCCTTCCTGGAGAGCCTGAAGTTCCACAACCCTGACGTCTACACCCTGGTCACTGGGCTGCAGCCTGCGGTTGACTTCAGCAACTTTAGCGGTGAGAGCTCCGACTTTGCCGGGATCGCAGGTGCTTCCTAGGAACCTCGGGCTCCTGGTAACCCCAGGCGCCCCACTCACCTGCCACTTAGCCCTTCTCCTACTTTCCTCCCGGCTGCAGTCCCTGTCCTGGCCCCAGCACTCTGAGGGTGAGGAGCCCCTCCGCTGTTTTGAGGGTGGGTAGGATAAAGCGTCCCTGGGCCTGGACTCTAAAGTGTCATTCTTTAATTACCCAGCACCAACAGGAGACCCCCTGAGGGGCGGGGTGGGGAGAATCTGCCTTCCAGAGACAAGCAAAGGGCAAGGGAGTGTCTCCTGGAGCCTGCTTTTAACCTTGCAGCTTTGCTGGAGGGGCCAGGACAGCCCAGCCCCGGAGGGTACAGTGCCGCAGAGCCTTCTGGGCACTTGCTCACCCTTTTCCTTAATGGAGTAATTCTAGGCTTCCCGGGAGGAGCCGTTGAAAGATTTAGGTATTCGAAGGAGCAGGACTCACATGACCAAAACAGTAGAGAGCAGACCATTTTCCCTGTGCTCCCAGCCCGTATGTATTTCTGTTCTTTAGAGTTCTATTATGTGAATCCGTATTCTTTCTTAGGTTTTTCCTGGGATAACTTTAAAATGAGTTAGCAATGAGTGCATCTCAGCCACCGAGGGGAGTCATTAAATCTGAACAGTGGGGTCTCATTGGGAAGGTCAGAGTGGGTAACCCTTCTGCCAAAATCAGGAGTCATGCTGTTTACTTGACCAGAAGACCAAGTCTGCTGGAGGCCCAGGAGCTTTTAAGGAGACCAGCAGGTTAAAGCTGGGGCCTGCTGGGGAGTCTGGGCAAGGCTATGGGGGAATGGGGGCAGTGCCTCGGCCCACCTGCCCACCTGTGCACCTGCCCACCTGCTCACCTGCCCACCTGTGTACCTGCCCACCTGCCACATGCTCACCTTCCCACCTGCCACCTGCCCACCTGCCACATGCCCACCTGCCACATGCTCACCACCTGCCACCTGCCCACCTGCCCACCTGCCACCTGCCCACCTGCCACATGCCCACCTGCCCACCTGCCCACAGGTCTCATGGAGACATCCAAGCTGACCGAGTGCCTGGCTGGGGCCATCGGCAGCCTGCAGGAGGAGCTGAACCAGGAGAAGGGGCAGAAGGAGGCGCTGCTGCGGCAGTGCCAGCAGCTGCAGGAGCGCCTGGGCCTTGCCGAGACCCGCGCGGAGGACCTGCACCAGCTGGAGGCTGACCACAGCCGCATGAAGCAGGAGGTTAGCGCCCACTTCCATGAGGTGCTGAGGCTGAAGGACGAGATGCTCAGCCTGTCGCTGCACCACAGCAATGCCCTGCAGGAGAAGGAGCTGGCCACCTCACGCTGCCGCAGCCTGCAGGAGGAGGTAGGGGGACACCCCGCACTCCAGCGGCCCCTGCTGCTGTCTGCCTGCCCCCAGGCCTTTGCACTAGCCGGTTCATCTGCCTGGAACTCCCTTCGCCTCTTCCTTGTCTAACACTTCCCTGCCCCCAGAGCCTTGGCCGAGACCCCCGGGGGGCTGATCCTTCCCCTCCCCAGGAGGCCGCCCAGGCCCCTCTGTGTAGCCTGCCTGGCAGGAGGTGTGCGTTGTCCAGTAGCTGCCCGGGGCCTGGCTGGCTTGTCTGTGAACTGCCCATCCTGCTGACTCCTGGGGAGGTCTGGACACTCTGGGCTCCGTATTTGTAGACCCACCTACGTCCCACTGCCCAGCTGTGGCCGTGACACAGGATATGGCCCTCTGTCGACCTTCTTTGTCCTTCTCAGCTGGTCCTCACTCAGGTGGGGAGGGCAGGAGGGTTGTCAAGCTAGACCTCCGAGACCCACTGTGTTTCACTCACTTTTCTTTGGGGATGATGGTCTGACTGATTTGTAAGGGTTCTCAAAATACTGAGGATGTGCACTCCTTGTCATTCTGGCATTTGCTTTTGACCTTTATTATTATTACTATTGTTTTTAATGTTTTAGAGACAGTGTCTCACTCTGATACCAAGGCTGGAGGACAGTGGTGCAGTTATAGCTCACTACAGCCTCAAACTCCTGGGCTCAAGTGATCCACCTGCCTCAGCCTCCTGAGTAACTGGGACTACAGACCGTGCTGCCACACCCAGCTACTTTTTATTTATTTATTTTTTTATTAAAAAAATTTTTTTTTTGCGGCCGGGTGCGGTGGCTCATGCCTGTAATCCCAGCACTTTGGGAGGCCGAGGCGGGTGGATCACGAGGTCAAGAGATCGAGACCATCCTGGTCAACATGGTGAAACCCCGTCTCTACTAAA